CCCCAAAACCCCAAAACCCCAAAACCCCTTTTAATCATGCATTTAATAATATATTAAAGAAAAATGAAGAGCCTACTTCTTGTTGTCTTCTGAATTGCCATTATGTCTACTTCTGCATCTAGCACAAGTAATTCAGGAATTGAAAATATACTTATGGAGGGCTCTCCTATCAGAACACTTGTTGATGGAGTTTTGAAGGATGGTTCTTCTTCAGAACTTACAACCTACATTGAACTTTTTAATCAATTCTATCCATTCTTAAAGACTTTGACTGATAGTATTGACCCTTCTACCGGAGAAATTTTAAAGCATGTTGATTACAGCTACTGTTTCTATGATGACCATAAAAATCCAGTCCTTTGCTTCACTGCTGACTGGACTTTCATTATTGGGTTCCATTCTGAGCAATTCTCTGATGATGATAGGTTCTATAACCTGACTGTCACTCCTTATGCCACTATGCATGTTGATTTCTCTGTCAACACGTACACTGGACCTGCAAAGATCGCTGTTGGACCATCTATTGAGTTTGTCCATTTCAGAGCACCAATAAGCTTTGAGTTAGAGACAAGAGATAAATTCTGCTACTCTGGAGACCTCAATATTAAGCCAATCTCCCTCCTTACTACTGCAACTGCTGAGTTTTTAGAGTGTGAAATCACTATCCCAGAAGAAACAACCAGATGTCAATGGGATGAAGGAGTTGGAGCGAAGATTTTCGAAGTCTTACTCACTGAAGGATATGGATCAACTCTCCTCGATAGAGTTTGCTTCGATTCAAACTAATCTTAACCATTTGTGATAAGTTTGATTACTCATACCCTTAAAGACTGTAATTGCCACATTTCTTGCATTTATTAGAATTTCTAGCTCTCTTATTTATTACATGTTTAGAAATTCCTGTTTCCTTGCAAAAGAATTGTTGTACTAAGATACCATGTAGCTCATTATCTGATCGTATAAGGATAGTTAGCTTGAAATAATTTCAATAATATCTCTAAAGAAGGGGTTTTGGGGTTTTGGGGTTTTGGGGTTTTGGGGTTTTGGGGTTTTGGGG